ACCCGAGCCACAGGTACCTCCCCCGAGCCACTAGGTACCTACCCGAGCACGAGGTACCTACCCGAGCCATAGGTACCTACCCGAGCCACGAGGTACCTACCCGAGCCACGAGTACCTACCACAACCCAAACCTACCCGAGCCACGAGGTACCTATCCGAGCCACGAGGTACATACCCGAGCCACGAGGTACCTACCCGAGCCACGAGGTACCTACACGAGCCACTAGGTGCCTACCCGAGCCACTAGGTACCTACCCGAGCCACGAGGTGCCTACCCGAGCCACGAGGTACCTACCCGAGCCACTAGGTACCTACCCGAGCCACTAGGTACCTACCCGAGCCACGAGGTACCTACCCGAGCCACGAGGTACCTACCCGAGCCACGAGGTACCTACCCGAGCCACTAGGTACCTACCCGAGCCACTAGGTACCTACCCGAGCCACGAGGTACCTACCCGAGCCACTAGGTACCTACCCAAGCCACTAGGTACCCACCCTAGCCAAAAAATAAACGTAATACTCACCACGGAAGGAGTGAGCGTAGGTGCCCATGTTGGTAAGTATCCTCAGCTCACTTAACAGTGGTAGTACTCTGTAAACCAATGAAAAGGTACACATGTAATTCTAATTTATCCGTACTACAATATACACAAAAACTTTAATTAAACTTAGGCCTTAACAGTAGTTTTCTGTAAAAATGATTTACAGAATATAATAGCACCTATAATTAAGTTACAAATCTTACTATAGAAAGTATTTTTATTATTATAATCAAAAAGAAGCGCTAAGCCACAAGGGCTAAACAGCACTGTAGAAAGTAGAAATCTAAAATTATTGTAAAAAGGGACATTTCTAGCCCTCCGTTGCAAAAAAAAAAAAAAAAAAAAAAAAAAAGGGTAAGCATTACGATGTAAAGTGTAATTAACATATAATTTTTTTTTTTACTTCATGTTATAAGGGTCATAATGGATACATGTTACTTATATTCGACTTTTTGTTGCTATCCTTGGTAATTGTAAGAAGCCAAACATTGTGTAAATGTAACTAAAACCTACTTAAATGCATAAGAATTTTACAATGGTGTTAAAGACATTTTATCCTAGGATTATCTATGTAATTTACACATACCTTATTGTACTAACCAAGGATAAGTGGAGTTAAACAATGCGACTTACTCCCACAGGTGTCACAATGACAGTGTAACGAGAGCTACATAACCCAGTCCACTATTACATAATGTAAAGGGCATAATACCGTGACTGGAACAATAAACAGATAATCCGCATATAGGAGAGAGGAGCTTACGAAGACGTTTTGGTCCGACTTGGACCAGTGAGTTAAATGGTCCAAGCCGGACCGAAACGTCGTCGTAAGCTCCACTATATTTCTGTAAAGCACTAAAACCGTTTAGATCATTCAGAACGGTGGTAGAGGACTGATCATGAGTCTACAGCACGCTAATACAACTACCCAGCTGTGACAACTAGCCTTCACTAAGCTAGAATACTCACCTTTAACAGCTGAAGATGAGGTTTAGTGGTGGAGGTGGTGAGTGTTGATAATGAAGGTGGTGGTGATGTGAGTGTTGGAGCTGGCTCCTCTCCTGCACTTCCAACACTGCGCACACAAACAATTTACCTCAATATATCTTATTAAATTCATATATACTTTCTGCTTAAGTCACAGAATAATAACAAAATAATGAAACTATGCCTTAAGACATGTTCTAACGATAGTACAACGTTTATGAGTGCAAGAATAATGTAAACAATAAAACTATAACTGGCTCCACTACTAGGAGCAGTTGCCTCTCCCATCCATATTACACTATTGGTCTGCCTATATTAGCCTCTAAACTCTTGCCCACTGTGTCTTTATAAGATGAATTTAACGTTCTTTTTAATTGTGCATTGTATGGGATCTCTAATTACTATATATAATCATACAATCATCTGATATAAAGAATTGTTTTTGAATTTGTGGCGTTGCCAGATTGGTAGTTCAAACTCCAGGCGTGTTAGAACGTGCTGTGATGTGTTAGTACGTGCTGTGACGTGTTAGTACATGCCGTGATGTTAGTACGTGCTGTGACGTGTTAATACATGCTGTGACGTGTTAGTATGTGCTGTGACGTGTTAGTATGTGCTGTGACGTATTAGTACTTGCTGATGTGTTAGTACGTGCTGTGACGTGTTAGTATGTGCTGTGACGTTACTACGTGCTGTGACGTGTTACTACGTGCTGTGACGTGTTACTACGTGCTTGACGTGTTAGTACATGCTGTGACGTGAATACTTCACTTCGTTGTATACACTGTCAGAGAGTATATATATAAATTTACCAGTGTCTGTATATACATAAACTCAATGGAAATAAGTCGATGACTTTTTTTTGGGTTATCCTAGGTAATCTAAACCGTATGATAATTGTACTTAAGTGCGCCTGTGCTTAAATAAACATTACTTAGTTAATCTCAAAACAAACAAATTTTATTTCTTTGTGTACTATACAAAATGTAGTTTACATGAAATAAAATATTGTTAAGCACAAAGAAAGCCACTAGCGTACATACACAGTTTTACTGAATCCAAATTCTAGGTCATATAAAAATATTACTCCAGGTGTTGAAATGCGTATTTGCTGACGCAGCTACACAAGAGTCGCAATAAAACTAACTACGGCGCGACAAAACGTGATTTAATATATATCTTGGTGAAGAACTAATCCCATGTGGGTTATTTGGCTCAAGGAGTGGTGGAGGCTCGATCCTCTGTACGGTCCATAGCTGACATTTTTCTTCACCCGAATAAACACACACACACACACACACACACACACTCGACCCCCGCAACCTCAACTAGGTGAGTACACACACACACACACACACCCACACACACCCCACACACACACACACCCACAAAATATATATTATATATATATATTAATATAATATATATATATATATATATATATATATAAAATATATATATATATAATATTATATATATATATTTTTAAAGGGACCCCGTCGGGAAAACACTTGTCCTATTTCCTGACAAATTTTACCGAATCCTAACCATATATTCTGATAATATATATCCATACAAACATTACTGCTTTTTATCTTTTTTACTTGTAAAATCCGTGGTTACTTTTGTACTAAATTGTACTAAAATTGTAGGATATATATATATATATATCGTGCCGAATAGGCAGAACTTGCGATCTTGGCTTAAATAGCAACGCTCATCTTGCCATATAGGACAAGTGAAAATTTGTGTATGCAATAATTTCGCCAAAATCATTCTTAACCTAACGAAAAAAAATATATTTCACTGTGTTTGTTTAGTATTAAATTATTGTAAACAAATCTAAAATATATTTAGTTGGGTTAGGCTAAAATAAATTGTTCTTGTTATAATAAGTTAGGTAATTTTCTAAGATTCTCTTGGAGCAAAATTAAATTTTTTACATTAACATTATGAAAAAAATATATCTTAAAAGTTTTAAGAGAAAATTTAGAAAGGATTTAATTTTAAATGAGTTCTTGCTAAATGACCAGTTTTACATATTCGGCACGACATATATATATAATATATATATATATATTATATATATATATATATATAAATTTTATATATATATATAATATATAATATATATATGTTTTTTTTTTTTGGTTGACCTTGGCAGCAGGCTTCTGTAGTGGAATGCATGTGACTAAGATACTGAGACATTTGAAGAGGTAGAGATTTTGATGTTTTTCAATCCCTCAGTTTCCAATACCTTAAGTTATCTCTGAAGAATCCTCCTGCGCAGGCAAAACGTTTTGGCAATGACGATTAAGTTTATTCAGGTATACACAAATACAATTACATAGATTATCATACATAGCAGCATATGTGTAGAGAACCTAGGATAACCCAAAAAAGTCAAAGTGACTTATTTCCATGCAAATTACTCCTCTACTTGTTGGTATTGTGTGCCATTGTAATGAAACTTGTCTGAAACAGGAAGTATGGGTAATGGGCGATGAGGAAGTTGTAAATAGAATGACCTGGAAATCTGGGATAGTCCCAAACAGTGCTGCGTTCCTTGCTTTGTCAGTGCAAAGTGGTGTATTTACGTCACAGTTGTGGTGGGTTGCTTAGTGTGTGTGTGTGAAGGTGTGCCAGCCCCGCTGGCACCACACCAGGTAACCTTTCTACACTGTTTACAAACATGTATCAGCATGGGAAGAGGTCAAACTGGTTCAGATTACACTGGTTCATTTAAAAACTCGGATGTTATATATATGTACATAGTAACATTTGCAAGAGATATTATCTGTTAGCGGTAATCTACACATCTGCTGCTATGTATGATAATTTATATAACTATTTATGTGTACCTGTTGTAAAAACGTTGGTAAGACATACCGACAAGTTGGTTTAGAAAGACACGTAAGCAAACACTAGGACAAAGATGATTTAAGGTACGCTTGTGTCCCCCACAGGGACTCCACGGGACATTTGATGAATTGGGATGAGGCACAGTTTGTCCACACCGAACAAGATCTCGGACGTTGACGATGGTGCCGGTGACTGATAATTGCAGTCACCGACACCATAGAACATAATACTGGAAACTACAAAATTTCTAACACATTCGCACACATGATACTCAACCACGCAAAGCACCACCTACCTAACAACACAGGAGTCACATGATCACATTGTCTACCTGTCCTCATCCCAATGTAGCATTCTTCGGGTCACTATGTCACTTACCTCACTCTCCTCCTATATATACTATCTTTTTAACCTCTATATGTTAGAAATGATCAAGGTCCCAGCACCGAAACGTTTTCTAATAAATGTCCTAGTGTTTGCTGACATGTGTACCTACTATCTGAGTCAACTTACTAGCGTTATAACAAATGGTAGGGACCTCAGCTCACACAGAGAACCGGGTTCGAGCCCTGGACAAGTGGAAATGTTGGGTAATATTTAAGAAAGAATGAGCACTGAAGCAGGCCTACTGGCCCGTTCTAGGCAAGTCCAAGTCACCTACTGGCTTGATTTCCTTACACTTGCCGCCCCTATTCATCTAGCAGTAAATAGATACTAGGGTGTTAGGCGACTGTTGTGGGCTGAATCAATACACAGCATTTCCCATAGTACACTTTAAATATTTTTAAAGGGGTGGACCGGTAAGCCAGCGGAAGGCCTCGGTCAGATAACCAAAGCTCCAAAGGCGAGTCATCATCTGACTAAGACCCGTGTCAGGAAACACTTGTAATGTTTCCTGACAAACCTTACCTAACCTAACCTAGCATTTCCCATATTATGTCATATTCTCACTGAGTACACTTGTACCACTGTTCACTTTATAATACTTTTGTATGTTAAAATCTATTAAAATAGGCCTACAACCCACTTGCATTTTTTTGTCCTCATGAAAGTGTCTACAAAAACTATGCAAAAAACAATATACTATTAAGACTGAAGTGGTACACGCATATTGAGTATAATGGTATCTGTATGTGCGATACAGGATTAACGTTACATAATATGATACAGGATTAATGGTACATATGTGATACAGGACTGACAGGACATGTGTGATATAGGACTGACAGGACATGTGTGATATAGGACTGACAGGACATGAGTGATACAGGACGGACGGGACATGTGTAATACAAGACTAACAGGACATGTGTAATACAAGACTGACAGGACATGTGTAATACAAGACTGACAGGACATGTGTAATACAAGACTGACAGGACATGTGTAATACAAGACTGACAGGACATGTGTAATACAAACTGACGGACATGTGTAATACAAGACTGACAGGACATGTGTAATACAAGACTGACAGGACATGTGTAATACAAGACTGACAGGACATGTGTAATACAAGACTGACAGGACATGTGTAATACAAGACTGACAGGACATGTGTAATACAAGACTGACAGGACATGTGTAATACAAGACTGACAGGACATGTGTGATACAAGACTGACAGGACATGTGTGATACAAGACTGACAGGGCATGTGTGATACAAGACTGACAGGACATGTTTAATACAAGACTGACAGGACATGTGTAATACAGGACTGACAGGACATGTGTGATACAAGACTGACAGGACATGTGTGATACAAGACTGACAGGACATGTGTGATGCAAGACTGACAGGACATGTGTGATGCAAGACTGACAGGACATGTGTGATACAAGACAGACAGGACATGTGTGATACAAGACTGACAGGACATGTGTGATACAAGAATGACAGGACATGTGTGATACAAGAATGACAGGACATGTGTGATACAAGACTAAGAGGACGTATTTGATGCAAGGCTAACGGTACATACATGTGATACAGGACCAGCGGTACTTATGTGATACATGACTAACGGTATGCACATGTGATACATGATTAACGGTGCACAGGTGTATGATACATCAGTAACCTTGAGGAGAGTGGAAAAGAAAGAAGCAGGGTGTCCCTCACTGTGCTCAGGCTACACTGAGGCTGAGGCTACACTGTGCTGAGGCTACACTGAGGCTGAGGCTACACTGAGGCTGAGGCTACACTGTGCTGAGGCTACACTGTGCTGAGGCTACACTGAGGCTGAGGCTACACTGTGCTGAGGCTACACTGAGGCTGAGGCTACACTGAGGCTGAGGCTACACTGTGCTGAGGCTACACTGAGGCTGAGGCTACACTGTGCTGAGCTACACTGTGCTGAGGCTACACTGAGGCTGAGGCTACACTGTGCTGAGGCTACACTGTGCTGAGGCTACA